CTCATGTCAGTTTATTTTATGTCATCTGTGTTCCATAAGGGAGATTTTTATTCACTTCCTGTCCCATAGCCAAAACAGATAGGGTCCTTTTACATGGGCGTTTCGGTTTTTTATCATCAGTTCAGTCGCATTTTTTTTTTTTTCAAAATCAGAGCTAAACGGATCAAGACTTCACTTTTTACCCCTGTTTTCTCTCCAATCCAAACTATAGTCTTGTTTTTATTCAGCCTGAAAAAGGGGATACCTGTAAGCCTCAAAACACATTAGAGGGGGGGGGGTTACTAAAGAGGTGCAGCTCTGCATAGAAACCAATCAGCTTTCAGTTTTTTATTGTCAAACCATAAAGGTATGAACTGAAGTTAGAAGCTCATTGGCTACCATGCACAGTTGCACCAGATTCTGAGTGCAGTTTTAGTAAATCTCCCCAATTGGCTGATCTTGATGCCTACAAACAAAATTTAATTCTAGATTTTGACATGTGAAATTGTACCTTGTTTTTTCTTGCATCCATGTTTCCATAAGGCCCACTTCTAAGAATCCTATTACTAGTAGAGCTGCCTGTCAACTGTCACATACTACCTACGTTACATAGATGTCTAGTGCTCCTCAAACAGTATTTCAAGTAAGATGTCATGGTTGTCAAATTACCTGGCAAATAAATTAGGATGCATCTAAAATGTAAAAAAAAAAATAGGGCAAACATTATCCTGGGATAACACCATAACACCTGCTTACTGCTCCACCATATTTTGTGCTTTGCTATTAAAACACAGAATAACCCTTTATCCATTGCTTTTGAGCATCACCTTATATATGTAATGTGTTAAACAAGCCTGCCTTTCTTTTTTAGGGGAGCTGACATTAGAAGAATTTATCGGTGGGATACAAAAGAATCCTGACCTTCTTGAGCTCATTTCAAAAAGCTTCGATCTCTCCAATGTGTTAAAAACAATACAAAATGGAAGACGGAAGAGTATTCCTTGAAGAATGTTTCCTATCTAGGATATCTCTATCCGTCTTACTACAAGAAGATGCCTTTCTGCAGTGAGAAGATGTCATGTTGCATGAGGATTTTCTCATTAATCTCTCAGAGATTATAATAAGCACAGCCGTAGTAAGATATAAGTGGTGCAATCTTTCAAAGCCTTCTCTTCAAGAAAAATACATTTCTTACGTAATATAACAAGACTGTATCAAGCTTCAGTAGGCCAGGGAAAAGTAATCTTTTGGATATTAATTGATTCAAATCCAGTTTAAATGGATTTAAAAGGAATTGACTTTCATCTGGATTAGTTAGGATAAAAGGCGGGGCTGTCTGACCTTTTAATGTAACTAACCGCTACTTTCATTAGCGATAAAACTAACTAACCCTGCTGACTTAACAAAAAAAAAAAGTTTCTGAAAAGGTCATATTATTCTGACAAAAGCTGAAGATGATGAATAAAAGACAAATGGATGCATTGCAGCTTTATATTCTCATTTGGACTTGCCTGGCAAGAAAACTGTGGTAAATGAACAAATGAACAATGTGCAAACCCCTGTCTGTGGTCTATGTGCAAATGTTGACTATTTATATCCTTATTATAATACACATTTTTTGTTGCTTCCTTTTTAAATATATATATATATGTGTGTATCATGATTTTAATATTTTTAAATATACTTGAACAACATGGGTCAAAGCTTTATTAGAGTCTTATTATTAATGTAATAATGTTTGCATTTTTTTAATAGATAGGAAAAGGGTTAGGACCTCTGTTTTAAAGATAGTTTGTGTCCTCACTGGGGAGATTCCCTATCTCTTTCTTCGACAGGATGTAAGACTGATGTCTCCAGTGGGGATCCAGACAGCAATCAAAACCAGACTCTGTTTATAGGCCTTCCCACTCTTTAAGAAAATTTAAAATTTTTCTTAATAAGTGCGCTCAAGTTAGTTTTGCATCGCTTTTTGTTCTATATGACACCCAAGAAATAGATAGGAAGGGGGGGATCATTACAATTTCAGAGTTTTGTAAAATGCTTGTGCTGTAACCTGGATTTCCAGTTTGTGAATGGTGCTCATGTGTCACATGCTACAAATTTACAAATAACGGTCTAAGGGAATCAGACATTATTTTGGTTTTGAGAACCAGCCTTGGGTAAGTGCTGCCTGTGAGATCACACAAAGCCTAGAAGGCCTTTTTTTTTTTTAGGTACCATACTGTGCAATGGGCAGTTGTAAGCACTGCTGTCCTTTCTCCAGACACTCTGACAGAATTAAAACTGTGTAATGTATGCAGGTTTACCATATTTTAGCACATCTACTAGTGCCCTCTTACTTTTTTGATGTCAGAGATTTTTATTTATTTATTTTTTTATAAAAGAGGATGATAATCACATCATGGTGGTAGGACAGCACAGTGGCCAAATGGTTAGCACTTCTGCCTGGCAGTACTGGGGCCGTTGGTTTGAATCCCAACCATGGCACCACCTGCCCGGAGTTTGCATGTTCTCCCTGTGCCTGCGTGGGTTTCCTGGTAGGTTAATTGGATCCTGTCTAAATTGGCCCTCGTATGTGTATGTATGAATATAGGTTAGGGACCTTAGATTGTACACCCTTGAGGGTTAGGGACTGATGTGAGTGTACAATATATAGCGCCATCAATTTTACGCAGCTCTTTACATATATAAGTACCTGAAATAAATAGTGAATGGGAGAAGGAGGCATCAAACTACATTTTTGTTTATAATTTAACCTGTAGAATGCCCTGTAGGAATTCATGCATGCCAAATGTGGAAAGCACCCTATCTTGGTAATAAAGATCAATCCTGTGATCACACACCAGCAAACACCACAGATGTACTTATGTAAGTTCCTAAGCTCCAGATTAGCAACACTCAATCCAGACAAAGCTATACAGCTAATAAAAGCTGAATCCCTTGTCTGTGTCAGCCTGCACACATGCCTGACCACATTAAACCTATCCAAGAACTGGGATTTGTAGGTACAAGAACTCTTTAACCTCTTCATGGCTAGCCTTCCTGTCAGGCCAGTTTTTTGCAGTGATAGTTTGACTGACAATTACTCCACCATGCAACACTGTACCAAAATGAATTTGACATTTTTTTTATATGACAGATGGAGCTTTTTTTGGTGATATTTGACCTGTTGCTGCCCATTGTACACATATGTGCAGTGGCAAAATGCCCACATGCCACATATACACATCACTGGGCAGCGAATGTTTCTGTGCTGAGAGCACTCTTCCAACACAGAGATGAGCTGTCAAAAAAAGCTCTTGGTCTAAATTAACTATCTGTAGCTAGTAGGAGAGGCTCCCAATCATGTTTGACCACTGTGATTGCCGATCCTTCCTGCCCCAGGCATTCAGAACTATTTAAAGGGAGGCCGGGGTGGGTGTGAAGGGGTTAATAACTGCTTGGATTATTTTTTTTTTACTATGTACAGATAACAAAACACTGAAAATTGTTAAAGAAATAAAAGACAATAATAGTTTCTCTTACTCTTTAGTATAAGACATATCAAATAAAAATTCCTGGACAGTACAAACATCTCCAAAATAAACCCTTTGTGGAAAATGGCCACCCCAAGGTTTAAAAAAAAAAAATCAATTAAGTGTGCTTAGTCTTCAAAAGTCATTCACTGAAGTCAAGTGTAAGGCAGACCATAGATAACACATTTTGATTTGAGGTTGAAAAAAATATTTGAATCTCTCCTGCAGAGCTACTGCATTCTGACAGCGTCCATTCCATCAGAACACAATGATCAGTGCAGATGTCTAAAATCGACAGGACTGATAGAGAGAAAGAAAAAAAAAGACAGGCTGGTGTACTCGTACAGAAGTCAATCGAGAGATTAATTTCTGTACGAGTCTGTCAATATATATTTCAAAATTCAGCTGGCCCTGTTGAACTGACTTTTTCCATCTATGGTGAAATTAATCTTTCAATTATTACTGTAAGTGTACTGTAAGATGTAATTGCATTGCCCTGAATTTGTGTTGTGTGCAATGCCTTGATATAATTACTAAATCCAAACCATTTTAAACAATACCAGTCTTTGATGGTCAGTGGCAAGAAAAAGTATGTTAACTCCTTGGAATTAACTGCTTTTCTGTGGTAATTTGCCATAAAATGTGATCTGATCCTCATCTAAGTAACAATAGACATACACAATGTGCTTAAGCTGATAACAAAAACAAATCTAATTTTTCATGTTTTTATTGAACACACCCATTAACCGCTTATTTTTATTATTATTTATTTTAATTATTACAGGTACTTGTATAGCACTGTCAATTTACGCAGCACTTTACATACATATATTGTACATATACATCAGTCCCTAACCCTCAAAGGACAAACAATCTAAGGTCTCCAACTCACATACATACAGATACTAGGGCTAATTTAGACAGGAGCCAATTAGCCTACGAGCATGTCTTTGGAGTGTGGGAGGAAACCAGAGTACCCAGAGGAAATCCACACAAGCACAGGGAGAACATGCAAACTCAAGGCAGGTGGTGTCATGGTTAGGATTTGAACCAACAACCTTAATAGTGCCAGGCGGAAGTGCTAACCATTTAGGCACTGTGCTGCCCCACTTTTACCCCCCTCCTGCCCAGGCCAATTTTCAACTTTCAGCGGTGTCGCACTTTAAATGACATTTGCGTGGTCATGCAACACTGTAGCCAAACAACATTTTTATCATTTTCTTTAGACAGATAGAGCTTTCTTTTGGTGGTATTTAATCAGCACTGTTTTTTTTTTTTTTTTTTTGCTAAAGAAACTAAAATAAAATTTAATTTAGTTTTTTTCAGTTTTTTCTACTCTCTGTTATAAAAATTTGTAAATAAGTAATTTTTCTCCTTCACTGATGTGCGCTAATGAGGCTGCAGTGATGGCAACTGATAGGCTGCACTTATGGGCACTGATAGGCGACACTAGTGAGGAAGCACTGATGGGGAATGACAGGCATCACTTGTGGGTATTGACAGGCATCACTGATGGGCACTGAAAGGCAACACTCATATGGCACTGATAGGCAACACTGGCACTAAAAGGTGGCACTGATTGGAACTGTTAGGTGGCACTGACAGGTGGAACTGACTTGCACTGATAGGTGGCACTGATAGGAAGCACTGACTGGCATCCATAGTTGCCACTGAATGGCAGCTCTGATGGGCACTGATATCTAGCATTGATGTGCACTGGTAAGCACTGACAGGTGGCATTGATGGGCACTGATAGGTGGCAGTGATGGGGCTACACTGATCATCAGTGCCCTGATAATCAGTGCCGATAACCAGCATTTCCTTGTTTACATGCGATCAGCTGTGATTGGACACAGCTGATCACATGACAGAGCCTGTGTCATCGGCTCTTTACTCTGAACAGTGATCCGCCATATGATGTTCTCTCAGAATGAGAGAACCGCTGCGCGCCCGTCATTTCCTTATATGGCTGGCGGGAGGCGGTTAAACAATCACAGTGCTAGAGGAAAAAGTAAATGAAACCTTGTAGTTAAGTAGCTGGTCAAGTCTCCTTTGGCAGCAATGACTTTCAAGGAAGCAAGTGTTTTCAATAGCTCTGGATCAGACCTGCACAACATTCAGGAGGAATTTTTAATCATTCTTCTTTACAAAACTGCTTCAGCTCAGATGTATTTGTAAGATTTTTGGTATGTACAGCTCTCTTGAGGTCATTCTACAGCATCTCTATGGGGTTAAGGTCTGGACGACTGGATGACTCCAAATGGCGCATTTTCTTTTTTTTTTAAGCCAGTCTGTGGTAGATTTACTTTGATGATTAGGGTCATTGTCCTGCTGTATCACCCAACTTCTACTAAGTTTTGCTGGTGGACACACATCCTGACATTATCCTGTAGGATTTTTTGGTAAAATTGGCAATTCAATTTCCCCTCAATGTTGGCAAGTAGTTCAGGCCCTAATGCAGGAAAGCAAGCCCAAATCTTGATGTTCCCTCCACCATACTTCACCGCTGGGATGATGTTGTGATGTTGGTAAGTTGTGCCCTTTCTTGCTATATGTGGTACTGAGTATTCTTCCCAAACCATTCAACTTTTGTTTCACTGGTCCACAAAACACTTTTCCAGTAGCATTGTGGTTTGCCAAGCTGTTCTTTGACAAGCTTCAGCTGTGCAGCAATGTTTTTTTTTTAGAGCAGCGGCTTTCTCTGTGGTGTTTTGCCATGGACACCCTCCCTATTCAAAGACTTGAGTATGGTAAACTTATGAACAGGGATATTTGCCAGTTCCAGTGATGTCCAAGTCTTTAGCTGTTACTCGTGGGTTCTTCTTTACCTCATTGAGGATTCTGTGTTGTGCCTTGGAAGTCATCTTGGCTGGGTTCCCTCTTCTAGGTAGAGTAGCCATAGTACTAAACTGTCTCCATTTATGGATATTTTGCCTAACTGTCAACTAATGAATACCAAAACAGTTTGAGATTACTTTTCAACCCTTTCCAGCCTTCTGCAGACCAACTACTCTTGATTGTATGTTTTTTCAGAAAGCTCCTTTTTAAGAGGCATGGTTCACATCAGCTGATGCTTCTTATTAACAGTTAGCTTAAATATTTGAGTGTTTAGCAATCAAAGCAGCTCTAAACCATCATTCATTGGACTCCAGGTGTGCAAAATTAGCTATATTGACTAATTACCATAAGAAGTTAGGTGTGTTTATCAGCTTAAGTCATTGTGTTTGTCACTTTTTTTCATTCATTCCCCAGTGGATTGGATGAAAAAAAAAAATTACTTGATTCCCCCATCCACACATTCGATGTGGATGGGGGAACCACTCCTACTGAGCTATTGGATTGTGACAGTGGGGAGACTTCCCAATTTTGATCTATGTATGGCCAGCTTTTGATGAGGATCGGATCAATTTTATAGCAAATTACAGCAGAAAACCAGCTAATTCCAAGGGGTTCATGTACTTTTTCTTGCTACTGTATGTCCACCTATCTAAGTAAGGTTACAATTACTAGATATAAGAAGGTTAAAGTACATGTTACTGGAGACAACCCATTAATGATTATTGCTCAATATTTCCATAGTTCCATAATTTCCATAGGTTTTTTTTGTGTAGTTGTTGTGGTCTACAAAGCACACATTTCCCTTGGTAATTCTGCCAGTTTCTGATGCATATACCTGCAGAGCTCTAACATGCTAACATTGCTAAAGGTATGTGCAATTTTTTCACCTATACCTGTGCGCTCAATGTCCTGTTTACCTTTGGTTTAAAGAAGAACTCAGATGATGGATTAAAAAAATATAGAAAGACAATAAAACAAACTTATCACGAGCTTGTGTAATTTAAATTGGCCCTTCCTCTGCCCCTATTGGTAAATGAGAATGCCCATAATATTAAATAAGACCAAAAGGGAGATGCATAGGTGGAAGGGCCTCAATTTAAGCTGCCCAGAATTGTGACCTTAAAATTATGTAAAATAGGAAACTGCTTTTTTTTTTATCCCATTCTAACCTTTAAAAATTTTTTTAAATTAACCATTAAAACTGAGCTATCAACACATGAGCACAGAATCACAGTGAAAAGCATTTGAAAATACAGAAAGGTATGTTATTACAAGGAAATTCATGAAATGGCTATCTGTACACAATCCACAAAGGAAACTTGTCACTTTGCTCAGCAGTCTTATGCAAAACTTTGAGCACCCTCTGTTTGTATGAAATTTGATTAATTTACTAAATTATGTTTATTTTGCGAAGTGAATGTTCACTAAGTTTAGTAAATTTAAAGAAGTGGTGCCTACTTCAGTTAGTCAATTAGGTGCAAGCATTCACTATGCTTAGTAAATAGTCTCCACTATTTTAGCAAATAAAAGACTGCAAGTTTTTAATCAATTAGAACATGCTTTCCCAAAATTTAGCGAAAGACTGTAGCTGCTTTATTGTTTTATGAAAATTTTGGGAGCTTCATTGCTACATAGAAGATCCCACATTACCCAGGGATGAATTCCTTAAATTCTATTCTATGGTGAAAATGTTATCATTTACTTGCCTATACCTAGTTAATCACATGCCAATATGCAGTAGTTCCTTAACAGTAAATACAAAATATGTTATTATCAGCATGCCTTATATAACTTATAACTACTGTTATTAAAATTGTAAATATAACACAAATGTATACATTACTTTGCTAGTATATTTCTTTTTTTATTCTACTTACTTGATTTTGTCTGGTGGCAACATATTTTGGCAGCCAAAAATATATGAAGAGAAGGTGAAACTACATGTGGTTTCAAGTGCATGATTTTTGCAACAGCTGCAAAATAAGAGCTTTATTTGAGACAAAGCAATTAATGCAAAGTAAACACAATACATATGAAATAGACACACACACACACACACACACACACACACACACACACACACACACACACTGCTCAAAACGGAACACTTTGAAAACACATCAGATCTCAAAGGGGAAAAATATCAATTTGTATATCTATACTGATATGGACTGGGTAATGTGTTAGGAACGTAAGAATGCCCCATCAATTGATGGAAATGAAAATTATCAACCTACAGAGGACTGATTTCAGAGACACCCCAAAAAGCAAAGTGAAATAATGATGCAGCAGGCTAGATCATTTTGCTGAAATTTCATTGCAGCAACTCAAAATGGTACTCATTGGTTTGTATGGCCCCCGTGTGCTTGTATGCATGCCTGACAACGTCGGGGCATGCTCCTAATGAGATGACAGATGGTGTTCTGGGGTATTTCCTCCCAGATCTGGACCAGGATATCACTGAGCTCCTGAACAGTCTGAGGTGCAACCTGGCGGCGTCAGATGGACCAAAACAAGATATCCCAGAGGTGTTCTATTGGATTTAGGTCAGGCGAGTGTGGGGGCCATTCAATGGTATCACTGACTTCATCCTCCAGGAACTGCCTGCATATTCTCGCCACATGAGGCCGGGCATTGTCGTGCACCAGGAGGAACCCAGGACCCACTGCACCAGCGTAGGGTCCAACAATGGGTCCAAGGATTTCATCCTGGCAACATAACATTCTCCACGGCTTCTCCAGACCCTTTCATGTCTGTCACATGTGCTCAGGGTGAACCTGCTCTCATTTGTGAAAAGCACAAGGTGCCAGTGGTGGACCTGCCAATTCAGGTGTTCAATGCCAAATGCCAATCGAGCTCTATGGTGCCGGGCAGTGAGCATAGGGCCCACTAGAGAATGTCAGGCCCTCAGGCCACCCTCATGAAGTATGTTTCTGATTGTTTGTTCAGAGACATTCACACCAGTAGACTGCTGAAGGTCATTTTGTAGGGCTTTGGCAGTGCTTATCCTGTTCCTCCTTGCACAAAGGAGCAGATACCGGTCCTGCTGAAGGGTTAAGGACCTTTTATGGCCCTGTCTCCTGGAATCTCCTCCATGCTCTTGAGACTATGCTGGGAGACACAGCAAAACTTCTGGCAATGGCATATATTGATGTGCCATCCTGGAGGAGTTGGACTGCCTGTGCAACCTCTGTAGGGTCCAGGTATCGCCTCATGCTACCGGTAGTGACACTGACCAAATGCAAAACTAGTGAATAACAGAAAGATGATTAGGGGGAAAATGGCCTCCACCTGTAAAACCATTCCTGTATTGGGGGTCATCTCATTGTTGCCCATCTAGTGCACCTGTTGTTAATTTAATTAACACCAAAGCAGCTTCAGCTGCTAATTAACAACTCCCTCTGCTACTTAACTGACCAGATCAATATCCCAGGAGTGTAACTGACTTGAGGCTATACTCTGATTAAAAAAGTGTACCTCCAATTTTTTTTGAGCAGTGTGTGTATATATATATATATATATATATATATATATATATATATATCACACATGTGCACATATGTATATACATACACACCTTCATACATAAATGTATAAGGCTAGGACAGGGGTCTGCAACCTTTAAGACATAAAGAGCCACTTGGACCCGTTTCCGAGAGTGGAAAAAAAAGACTGGGAGCCGCAAAACCATTGCAACATTTTAAAACAAATCCGGGACACTGCATATATTGCAAAAAGCGCTCTGGTCATGAAGGGGGTTTAAGGGCCCAGTAAGCAAAGGGTTAATCAGGGCCACAGTGTATCGTCATAATCACAATTCATAGCCTTAGGTCAGTGGTGGGCAACCTTTTTCAACTGAGCCAAATCTCTCCAAAACCAAGATTAAAATTTATTTTGAGAGCCACATTTTTAAAAATGAAAATACATCCCCCATATAGTAATTCATCCCCCTAGTAATTCATCCCCACTATAGTAATTCATCCCCCCTATAGTAATTCATCCCCCATATAGTAATTCATCCCCCTATAGTAATTCATCCCCCATATAGTAATTCATCCCCCCTATAG